CATGATATGCATTCAATCATTTGACAGTAACGATGAGTTGACTCACACACAAGTGTCCCAGTGTCTCAAGACATGAGCTGATGGGAAATTACTATTATATAGCAATCTGAGTGACATTACAGACGTTTATGTTTCTTTACACCATTGTATGCGGTTAAAATACTTTCTAGATTGACTGACCTTTGCTCCAGCAGTGCCGGCTGCTCCCTCATTTCCAGCGAGTCCTGGTTTCCCCTGAAGCAACACAGGAGTTTCTCAGAAACATCGGCTCACAGCAGCTCAAGACAGATTATGTTGAGTAAGAAGATGGTCTGAAACTGAACAGTACTTCTCGTGCTCTTTACTGTGTATTTGGTTGTGCATGTGAAGTTATAAATATGGACACGTGTTTTAATCTCAAATTCTGTGCACATTTTTAAAGAATATGGCTGCATCTTAATTACAGTGAAGAATCTGAACAGGATGGTTCATCATCGCAGCACTGCATTGTATCATATCTTTATATCTGCTTTTGTGTTTTAAGTAACAGAGCAAATGAATGACAAATTCTTAGAGGACATCGTCTGGACAAAACTAATTTCTGGCACATCATTTTGTGTTGTCATATAACATCACAGTACATTACCATTGGACCAGGCTCTCCAGGAGGTCCTTGTTCTCCTTTCCCCCCCTGCTCTCCCTGTTTAAAAATGTCAAGTTTATTATCATCATTCTTGTCATGACAGCTTACAGTTTATGAATAAGGCCTTTTCACTACTTATTTCTTTTTTCTTTATAGTAGTACATGGTAATTTACAAATAAATAAATAAATAAAACAGAAATAATTCATTGGATAATTTAAAGACATTTAAAGGGATAGTCCAGCCGAAAATAAAAATGCTGTCATTATTCACTCACCCTCTCTTTATTCTGTGGAACATAGGTATTTTGAAGAATGTTGGTAACCAAACAGTTTTTGTTTCTATTGACTCCTTTTTTAACAGAATTTTCATTTTTGGGTGGACTGTCCCTTTAAGTACACTTTCTCTCAATTTGTCTTGGCTGTAATGCATCGTGACATTTGACTTTAGAGTAATTTTCCATTATTCTAAATGGTTATTCCCATTGTATTACCCATTTTTCATATAATTGCATTAAAAATAACATTTAAAATAAAAATAACTATTTGCAATAATTTTACAATTTGAAAAACAGTAAACAAAATTATTGCAGTTCAGTGAAAAGATTGTAAAGCAATAGTATCTTATTTGAATAAAAAAATAATTAAAAAGAAGTACAACTATTATCATGATGTATGCACTTTACAATTTAATTTAATTATAACAATTACCATTTAATTTATTAATGAGAATTAAGCTTGGCAATAATTTATTATGTGCTTTGAATTGAAATATTATATTATTAATAAATATTATTACCTTTTTTCCTGGCAATCCAACTGTACCAATGTTTGGTTTTGATGCTCCCTGAAACAAAAAGACAAAAAGCATGTTTACATGCACACCAAACAAACGGTTTTTGAAATAAAGTGTTTTACCCATTTACATGCAAACCAATGATGGCAACGCAAGAAAACCACAGCAATCTAGTCGATTGTCTTATGCTTAAGCTGTTTATGACTCTACGCCGATAAAGGAAAATGACCACAGGTGTTGTTGGCTTATAAAGCATAACCGGTGCATGTAAATGCACACAAAAGCAGATTTTCCTAAAGTCTTTGTGTTTGTCTCCAGTAATGTATTTGGCTCTTCTTTACTTACTCGGTCTGGTTTAAAGCACTTTGTTTGTATAAAACCAATGCATTTCTGGCCAGTGTGCTGGATGGCGATTGTCCGCCGCTTGCTCTGTGTGTTCTCTCTACACACTTCTGTCAAACGCTTATAAAGGAGCCATTGAGCCGGTTACACAGGGAAGCCGTCACTCACACAGACCTGGCTGAGGGCTTGGAAAGAGACTTTAATTATTTCAGCTCTTACCGTGGGTCCTGGTGGCCCCGGTTTCCCTGGCAACCCTTGCACTCCTCGATCACCCTGGAAATAAAATACACCGAATGTGACTCGCAGTAAAGGAAAGGAAAGAGTCTGCTCACTGAATTACATCTAAAAGCTGGTAATTAGGAAGCTAGATTGAGAACATCACGCTCCACCAAAGTGGGAAGAGGCTCTATTCCTGCCGAATGGTTGTTTCATCTAAATTTGAGAATGAGCATCTAAAAGCATCTGATGATTATTTTGTGAGGAAAGGCGTGAAGTGAAGTTGGGTTTTTTCCCGATATACCCCAGTGAAAGACTCACTTTTAAAGCCTGAAGTCCTGGGTCGCCTCTCGGCCCTGCTGGACCCACGTCACCCTAAGTGAGAGGAAAGCAAAAAACACAGAAGAAGCGTTTTCTTCTTCAAGAAAGAAAACCACATGGTCAGCAATGTATGAAATCTGTTTTTTCTGTTTTAATTTTTCTGGATTATTTTTTTTTCATTTCCGGTTAAATTACATTTTAGTAATCAAAAATCATGTCTAATTAATTGCTTTTACAACTTTTACAATTTGACGAAAATGTATTAAAATTTTTCATTCTACTGATATTTCTGTTACAAATTTCTTCAAACCGAACTTTTATTTTGATGGGTTGCTGTGAAGACCTTAAAGTTTCTCTGTGAGTATGATATGAGGATAGTTTTTCTCAAATGAAACAGTGAAATGCTGATGAAGTGACTCTCGGAGCAGTTGTGGAGATGTTGTTCATGTGTTTATGTCCTCATTTCGTGAGACGCCAGACGCTGAACACACATGCGCTTCAGTTTGACTGTAGTAAACGAAACCGAACATCTGTGGCATTCAAAATCGTAGCAATGATTTCAAACCATAAGAGCGTCTCACCTTCTCTCCAGGTATACCTGGATCTCCTGGCTCTCCTCTGGAACCTGGGGGTCCCTTTATTGAGAAAACACACATTTCAGAACTGTACAGTTCACACAGATTGGCCTGAAAAAGACTCATATCCTGAATATATGGGGTTTTACTCACAGGCTTACCATCTGGGCCCGGGGGTCCTTCTCTTCCTTTCTCTCCACGCAAACCCTGTTGAGATCAGACTTTGGCAGTAAATAAGCAACTTTATGCATTTAAACAGGAATGATAGTGGAGATCCTGACTGACCCTCGGTCCTGGAGGTCCCGGCTGGCCTTGGTTGCAGTCGCACGCCTCTTCAGTCTCATTAGTGGGCTCACGATCCAGAGGACACTAGAAAGACCGGCATAAACTGCTACCACGTAAATCCTTTCAAATGACAGTAAATTCACGAGAGTAACAAACAAACGCTAACTACTTACCCGTTCATCATCCTGTAAGAAAACAAGGAGAATAAGAGCAGTTAGTTTGTCCAAAGATCTGTCTGCAGAGTTGTAGATTCAATCAAGTCTTTTAGCTTGCAGTACGTCGTAAAGATTTTTAAGCAGCATTGCTTCTGAAAGTATGTTTGCGCTATACATTTCTTTAATAAAGAGGCTTGAACCAAATCAGCCAAATTAGAGATTAATCAAAACATTACAACATTTAATTCAAGAATAAAGCATTTGAAAACTGTGGAGGAAAGACAATGATATATGAAAGAATTAACTACTCATTCCATAATGGAGTGTGTGTGTGTGTGTGTGTGTGTGTGTGTGTGTGTGT